TGAAAGCTTAATATTGATCCCAATTGATGGGGACGAACCGACCTGGTTTTATGAACACATGGTTTCATTCCTCTCTAAATGGACACAAGCCTAGCTATCAACAAGCTATTTCTATCCCAAATGCATGGGGACAATCCGACCTGTGTTAGCAAAAACAGGATTTCAGGATTACTCTCTTGCAGTAAACAGTGTGGAGTTTATCTATGAACTGAGATTTATTTCTTTAGTGCAGATTAGAATTGTTCATTAACAGCGTACATACAGGTTATGCGCTACTATATATAACGTAGTTAAACAATCACAATATCAGTATGACGGAGTTATAGTTATACTTACATGAAATGGGTTAATCGCAATACAGGATTTGCAAAATTACTATATGAACAATATACGACGTAATTTACAATGGGCCTCAATATTGGTACATCTGTTCAAAAGAGATTTTCGCTCTACTTGCTTCTTTGGAGAAAGGAACTGAGTTCTTGCAATAAACTTTGATGTTCTATATCTATATCTTTGCAACTCGACATTGCAGACATTTGATATGAATTGTGTTAGATCAAATATAGTTTGAAATATCTGAGGTTTACATGATCAGGGTTTAAACACATTTTTCGTTGACAAAGACTCATTTTCTTCATTTTTATGCTTCCACATAACTGCTCAGATTCTGGTTTAAAGGGTATTGTTGTGAATCGGACGTGCGTCATTTTTAAACGGAGGGTCACTTATGATTATAATCCCTACAGCATAATCTTTTTTTTTGTTTAGATCAGGACTGGATTAAGACTCCTCCCTTCCCCCCTTCCAGGTCATTTTGTTGCTCAGAGCAGAATGAAAATACTCTTTGCAACGCAGCAGCAAGATATGATGATTGTTCAACCACAATTATAAAAAGTCGATCAAAAGTATGACAATATTTAATTTTTTAAAAAGATGGAATTGCAAATATATTCATCCGAACCATAAAATTGAATATAAATTTAAATTACTTTTCACTCAAGAAATTCAAAATTAAAAAAAAAATTTAAAAATAGTTAAATTTTACAACAAATTTAGAATTACCCTTTCTTAAGAGTACTTTCACAGTAACCGACATTGGGAATATCAAGGTTTTCTTTGATTTGAGGGCATGCACAATTTTGCATTATTTAGCGAAAAAAGATTATTCTAACTAAAGGATAAGATATGAGCTCAAAACCAAATCAAAACATTTTCTGCATTTGAAAAAGTTTAAACAACCGAGTTCATCCAAATCTGTGACAACGAAATATAATAACTATACAAGCCGATCAAACCAATCTAGTCCGATCAAGAAATCAACTAATCAATCAATCAGCCCTACCAAGAAATCAACTCTCAGATCAAATTCACTTAAAGAATTTGAACCCAGACTCTATACTCAGGAATGATATAAACAAGATTTTTAAAAAATAGTTCACAGAATGGAGTTACACTTGAAATTACTGGGACAGTCCTTTTTTCTAGTGGGGAGGGGAGGGAAGGGGTTCTCTATTTATTATTAAAGGTGAAGGGGTCAATCATATTAAAAAACCATATAAAGAAAATGTGTTATTGACAGAAATATTCGGAATTGTTTACTTTAGAAGAATGGAATATTGATATATCATTAATTTTCTTCTACAACATTTCTTTGTGTTCACTTGCATAAAATATCGGTTTTTTTTGCATTTTATGTTCATTGAGGCGATCTTATAATTATTTACTTTTGTTAAGTTAAATTGTAGAATGTATACATGTGGGGGGATAAGCTTCAGAAGGGGGGGGGGGGGGGATAAGCTTCATAAAGGGGGCAATGGGACGAGAGAAGAGGGATAATCAGTGATTAGGGTTAATGCTAACACTATAGTAATATTGTACAACATAAAATGGGGTATATAAGATGGGATGGCCGAGGGAAATTATTTTATTAATCTTGAAAGTCTAAAAACTCTAAAAAAATAATTCACTAATACTGTTCATAGTTCTAGAGATGTACATTTTAGCACCGTAAACAAAATAGTTTTGAGAAGTAAGTAGAATATAATTCTCATCCATTTTTTTCGTAGGTACTTGTTTTGCTATAATAGGATTATGAGTTTTATGTACTCTGAAGTATAATAGTGTCCCTCTAAAGGGATTATGCGTTTTATGTACTCTGAAGTATAATAGTGTCCCTCTAAAGGGATTATAAGTTTTATGTACTCTGGAGTATAATAGTGTCCCTCTAAAGGGATTATGAGTTTTATGTACACTGGAGTATAATAGTGTCCCTCTAAAGGGATTATGAGTTTTATGTACTCTGGAGTATAATAGTGTTTCTCTAAAGGGATTATGAGTTTTATGTACTCTGAAGTATAATAGTGTCCCTCTAAAGGGATTATGAGTTTTATGTACACTGAAGTATAATAGTGTTCCTCTAAAGGGATTATGAGTTTTATGTACTCTGAAGTAAAATAGTGTTTCTCTAAAAAAAGATAATTTATATCTTCTCAATGAATAGTTGGACTTTCAAGGCGTGACCTCAAGCCCAAAAAAGCATGGAACAAAGTTGGAGGTAATATATTGTGGCATGGAATTCCTTTATTTATCGTTTTTAAATTATATTTTTAATGGCCCCTTGACCAGCTGAGCTCTTATTGTACGTGCAAGTTGAACACTAATCAACAAAATTTTGTATTCAACCAATGATTGTTAAAAACATTTGTTTTCTTTGAATAATCAGAAGCAAAAACAATGATACAGCCAATGAAGAGACATCAATGATTATAAATTCTCACACATTGTTCGATAGGTCGATCTGTCTTCGGTTCATTTTGAGAAATGGAACACAATTTAAAAATAATCTTCTAGAAGTGTATTTATAGTCCAATCACGCAAGTTATGGCAAGTCAATTTTTATACATCTATAAAAAGGCTTTTTAGTAAAAAAGAAAACATAAAGAAAATTGTAGAATTTTGAAATGTTTACAATTCAGTCGTCTTTATATCTTTAACTTTTCTTTTAACTTTAGATAGGGCATGAGGTTAGATACCATGGGTTTTAAAATTGCAGTTTAAGAGATTTAAACATGATTTAGGGAAAGACATAATGATTGCAGTTTATTGAAACCACAGACTGCACATACTGCTTATCTCCTTTCACACGGGTGGGCTACGTAGGCCTAAGTTGACCCGGCACGGCATGCTACGTTTTTACGATAAGTTTTTAGAGTGCCATCCAATTTTAAACATGAGACATAACATTTGTGAATTTAGTCTTTTTTAAGATTTTGTGTTTCGTATCCAAAGGATCCTAAAATATCCCTGAATACAGATGTTTGCTGAATGTTCGCGTACGGTGTACAGTTCTTGTATACAATAGAACATGCTGTGGAAAATATCGCATATTTTAGCTGATATTCGATCTCTGTATCTCTCTTATCTCTGATTGAAACAAACATATATTGATTTTGTCCTGTTTAGTCATCTGTATCTTGTCCTGAAAGAAATGGCGGCTGTGTCCAGACTAATAACGAAAATTATGAAGGTTAGTTAAAGTGACTGTAAGCGTATTTTCAAGAGACTGTCCGTGCACAGATGACAATGTCCGATTCACAACGATACCCTCTAAAACTTTGTTTGATCAAGTATTAATTATTTATTCATCAATGTTTATAATCTGAAAAACTTATTGCTTGAAATTGTGGTTTCTCTTCGAAAGTGACTCGCGCATTTCTACTCCAAAACAAACATAACGGAATTTTCAAAAATAACGCTTCGAAACTTAAATATTTACCACATTATTGATCAGATAAAGGTTTCAAAGTTTCAAGGGTACTGTTAATAATCGGGAAATGCCATCTTTGCAGAAAGGGTTGTCTGAAAGTATTCATATACAGTCCTTTTAAAAGGAACTGAACAGTGTGCAGATCCTTTCAGCGAGCACTCAAACTCTAATTTACCAATCCCATATCTCTGAACATAGAGTCAACCTTTGATATTTCAAACTTGGACTGTAAAGTGCAAGAACGTGAAACTTGCGTATTTGGTGAGAATGAATCCCATGATAATGAATCCCATGAGAATTGATCCCATGAGAATGGATCCCATGAGAATGGATTCCATGAGAATGGATCCCATGAGAATGGATCCCATGAGAATGGATCCCATGTGGATGGATCCCATGAGAATGGATCCCATTAGAATGGATTCCATTAGAATGGATCCCATGAAGTGACCCACAAAGCCTAATTTTGAGTAAATCTCCATTTGCATATTGCCCCATTTATTAAGAGAATACCAAAGAGTATGGAAGAGAAGGAAGATACAACTGAGGCGGTCTGCCCTACCATATGATTATTTATGCTTTGCAGACGGTACTCCATTTGTAAAAGAAATATTTGTCTGATGTATACAATTACGTCGTAAACAATACCCTATTCTGAATAATTCATATACAAATGGAGTATCCGTCTGCAAAGCAAGCATAGTCATATGGCAAGGCGGGCCGAGTCAATTGTATCTCCCTTCTATTCCATACTCCTTGGAGAATACCTTGTAAATTGGATATGCCCTTTTTTCTTGAAATTACGATTACAGTTATTATTATAAAATCTGACCTTCAGGATTAAATGAGTTCTTTGCGCTTATTTATACTTATTGATTTCTCTGAATATTCAAGTTTGCCATCAAAGTATGAGCCGATAATGACGACTTGAAAATATTTAAATTTAATTGAAATGGTTTGGGAATGAAAGAAACATGTTGACGGCTACTATCAGAGACCTAAAATGTATTGAGAAAACTAGATGACTTAAGTTCAGTTGTCTCTTGAATATCATTCTTTGTGAGTAACTCTTCATAATATTTTTACAATTTTGGAATGTTTAGAATAATTCTATTTTATCATGAAATAAATTGAGTCTTTGCCACAACTTATGGTTTTCGAAACCGTATGTTGGTTCAAAAAGTCAAAATACCAAAGGTATACGCCATATGGTCGCAAAGAAAATAGGAATTCGAAAATTTAAGTTTGTGTGGAAAAAGCTCAATTTTTTTTTGTTTTATATTTTATCATGATAAAGTAGATTAGATAATTGGATTAGGTTTATCTTGTTTACTCTAGATTTGACATATTGCTTTTATTTACTCACAGATACATACATTTACATAATTAAGTAGAAAACCAGATACACTATAAACAACTAAGGGGTTCAATCGAAATTCCGCTGGGCCTGTGCGCAATTTCAAGAAATTTTCGCGCGCGCAATGATTAATTTCACTTATTTGCGATAATGGTGAAATTAGTGTACAAATATTTGCATATTTAACTAGCTTGGGAACCCAGTGCGGTCAAGGTTAATGAAAGTTACTCCCGCCGTTTACCCGCACTTGAACGATTTTACCGGGAAACTAAATGTTCGCTATTGAGGTCGACCCACTCAAGTAAAAATTTCAAAACCAAGATTAGCATATATTTTTGCTCCCATCTTATCTCGAAGATTTGCATGCATGAAGATTTGTGAATCTGCATGATTTGTAAATTTATGATAAAATCCTTCCTTTAACTCTAAAGTGTTGCTCATTTTCGTCTCTTATGAAATTTTTTTTTACGTACTCCATTTTTTAATTGTGTGGTTGCCGAAAGTGATATGTTTTTTAACATGGACGTTTGGGCAGGTAATAGTAACTATTTTTCAAACATGAGTTTTTTTGTGATAAAAAACTTGTCATAAAACTTTGATGTTTTGTCTGGCTTCAAACATTCTGTTTTTTTTTATGTGATAATCAGTTTCTTACTAAATTCAGAAAGTCCTTGAGGGGCAAGTGCCAAAAAATAAAGACTCCGATTTTGTTTCTATTTTTCTAATATTTGAAAAAGGGTGGTATCTTTAATTTTGATTTGCTTTACCCATTTACTTAACTGTAATAAAAGCATTTTATCAACAATACCATGCTGTATAGAGGACACTCCTTGTTTGCAAATAGAATTATAACTTCCCCGTCTTATCTATAGTTTGTCTTCTTCAAGATAGAAGGCAATAAAAACAATAAACTTAAAAACAATGTAAATAAAAGTAACGAGGCACGTTAAAAACTTACTTTCTGTTAGAAACAAAAACAGAAATAATATTTTCAAACATTTATAAATATTTGATTTAAACTCAATAACAAAACATGCATTTAAGCAGTTATAATTTTTGACACCTATTGTTTGTAATAGCAATTTCAGCGGATAAATTATTTCGAATTTGAATACCTATTTAGAATGTGAAATCCATAACATTCCTAGCATTCAGTTCTAAACTTTTAATTAAAGTTTGGAATTTTGATATACTTTAGATTATATAGTATGTGGAACAAAGAGACATCTATTCTTTCACTATGCTACCTACAAATTAAAGAAGATTTTGATATGATTGTAAATGCCTTAATTCTGTTTTTTACCTTACAAACTTAATGCAGAAAGCAAAATTTAAAAGAACCTGTAAAATCTTTCCCTGGGATGTTTAGAAAGATAAAAATTTCCCTGTATGATAATTGAATAAACTGCAGTATGGTTTTGGTGAATTATATTTTTTGTCAAACATTGCAGATATCCTCGCTGTCAATTTACAAAAATTGTAAATTATGAAAAATTGTATATCCTCAAACATTTCTGTTTTTATCAATGAGAAAATGCTGAAAGATTATGAAACACTTAAAAGTTAAAGATGGGCGTGAAGCGCCTTAATAGCGCAGAGTACTTAAAAAGTAGAGATGCATTGATATTGATGAATATATTATGTTTATTAAATAAAAGCAACATTTATTATTCAGAGTGTGAAGAAAGAGAGATCGCTACAGCTCCCGAAGAACGACCCATATTTGTATAAACACCCAGATCAATAGGAGATCCTGAAATATTTAAAATATCTAAATGTTAGTTGTATTGAATTAAACCTTAAAACAAACTTGACCATTGAATAAAGCTCAGACACCCCAAAAAAGAACTCAGGGACAGTATTAAATAAATTTGAACTGACAAAACCGTTGAAGTATCAACATAAATCCTTCCTTAATCTTTAACTTTGAATCGTTGGTTTAAATTTGATCTGACAGTAACTAGTTTAGCAACGTAGCCCAAATTCATTTAATCGGGTTCCAGTTTTATTTCAACAATATAACTATTTATTGTCATTATTTAATTTATTTCTTGTCATAAGAACATTTGCTATAAGTAACATTTAATTTGAGTCCTTTTATATAATGGTTACATTAACATTATTTTGTAATTTTTATTTTTCACTTCGGCCCTAGTCCCAACTATCAGCCCCCTAGCCCTAGTTTGTCATAGCCGCAACTCTGAGACCTCTAACCCTTAACTCTAAGACCCTGTTCCTAGCCCTTTTACATTTGCAACCCAATGTCTTAGATCTTACATATTTCAAATATGAATTCTGTTAGGTCAAAGAATCAAAATTCGAAATAAGTTGTTTCATCATCAGGTTGTAACAATATAAAGATTGAAAATTTGAGTTTGAGGCAAAGACTCAGTTCCTTCAAAATAATTTCCTGTTCAATTGGGCAATGGCAATGGCGATGGCGATGGGAAGTGTAATTACGGCAAATGTAACTTAGTCCAAAAAAAGCGTATTCTTCAGAAAACAAATTTTTGATAACTTCCCCAGTCCTAAGTTTATTGTAATTTATTTTATTGGGACAAAAATAATTGTTAAAGAGCACGGGCAGCCGTATTTCATTTGAATTTCCCAGCCGGGTCAACCTTTCCGGTCCCAGATGGTAGTGTATCGCCTAGACATTTGGTAAATGAAGCAGACACTCAATAGGACTAGCCCGTACAACAAGGTTGACGCGGTCAGACTTTAGGTTGAATTTACTTTTACTGAAGGGTCAGGGGGTGCGTGAGAGATAAATAATCAAAATGTTAAAGAACCCTGAAATACCTTTAATATTTAGTAATATTGTAACGAAACTGCTTATTGCAATAGTTATATTCTTTTAATATAAAATGCAAAGATATAAAATGCAAAGTAAACTGTGAACTAACATTTCCTAAAAACAAGTGTTTTTGAACTTAGAGACGTTAATTCACAAACCTTGTTTCGTTTTCTGTAATTTTTGTAAAAAAATATCTAGTTTTTGTGTGACAAACAATCCTTAACCAGATAACTTTCTACTGCAGGAATTAAACCTCCTTAACCCCAATACATTTAGCAGGAGCACTGTAGCAACCTGCAGCTCTCAAGATTACGCATATAATAGAATAAATATCTTATTCATTTTAATAAAATTTGAAAATAAAATACGTGTTTCTAATTAAGTTATTATTTTGTAGAGAGAGTATGAAAAACTAGGAAATATGATACCTAAAATATTGCCTTCTATTGAATTGATGTACTTAGCATTACTTTAATAGATTCCTTCCCATCAATCACCTTAATATTTAAATGATGATACTGATGATTATAATAAAAATAATAATAATAATAATGATAATGATAATAATAATAAAAATAATATTACATGGTAATTTTTTATATAAAAACACGAAAGTTATTGTCAAAGACGGAGTCCTAATAAACATGCAATTTTATAGACGATATTAGGATATTCTTTAGGAATGTCTAAAATTGTCGACGTTTATATTAAATTGACTGTAAACGTAATTTAAAATGAGCGTCCATTGATAAAGTGGCATGTCAGATTTTCATAGGTCCCATAGAAAGCTTTGTCTTATCCTGATAAATTAGAAATCCATGTTTTTGTTTGTTGAAAACTAATTACTTTCTTTTGTGGTTTTTCTTCAAGAGTGACTTGCATTTTTCTTGCTTTAGAAACAATGGAGAAATTATCAGAATTAGCCACTTTTAACTTTTTATATCCAGAAAAAACTAAGTTCTAATACCCATTTTTTTCTCGGATTACGGTTTAAAGGGTACCGTTGTGAATCGGGTATGTTTTTTTTAAATTTTAAATTTAAATTTATAACAATTCCATTAAATAAAAATCTTACGATCAAAGACGCGATGCTTTACACTGTGTTTGTATTTTCGGATACCCAGTAGTTAAAATGCTATGGATTATTGATTTTCTTCTTTTTAAGTTTCAAAAATTTAAATATTTTGGTATAATCTGTAACAAAAATAATTTTAAAAACCTTTGAAAAAAGGTGAATTTAAAAAAAAACTGAATTTTTGAAAAGAAATGCCAACCATTTTGGTTCAGCAGTTTGGTCAGCAATAGCTAACTCATATATCGGAGCTAAAAGCTTTCATATTTATATATAGAGATCGGCGTTAACCTATTTTTAGTTTGTAAATGCAAATAAAATATTATAAACTTCGCATAAGAGAGCTGGAATTGGAAATTTAGAAAGGTAAAAAGAACAAAAAAACCCAAATCGGCCTAGCTAGTGTTGCACTGAAAATTCCGGTTCATTAGAAGTAATGGACTGACATTTAGACAGAGCTTGAATTGTACACTTTTGACCCCATTCTAAAAGTTGCATTATCCAAGCCATCACAACAGGTACTGTGTAGTTGCAGTAAAATATTTAGAGCTATGTCACAATACTCTTACAAGATGGAGTTGGTTTATAATTGGTTTACCGTCCCACTTTAACCGTCTATAGTCTGTGTGTGTGCTGTGTACCGTACAAATTGCCCCAGCTTCCCATAATGTCTGCACCAGTACTTATAGGATGAACCCGACTCCCGAGTACGTGTGTAGATGGATGTAGTTTATAGTTTACCAATAATGCTCCAATCAGCTGATATTTCCCCGCCAAAAACAGAAAATTCTACAAAGGTGCCATGCCTTGCAATCACTTTCAGACCTTGCCTATTTAGTAAGAACAGTTGTTACAAACAAGAAATAATATTTTTTTAAAATGTGTTTTTGTTGTCTTGGTTCCTTGCATCTATAACAAATATTACTATATCTCAAATGAAAATTTGATATAACATTAAAAAACAATTAATTAAACATATAAAAATATTCAAAATGAATCTGAAAAGATTTCCAGCAAGGTCGTTCTCATAGCCTATTAATTCATTAACAGATTTTTCATCATTGAATTCTTTTAATTAATGGAACTTTGTATTGGTGGAAAATAAGTGCAAATTTTTCAAAATATCAGAAATGATTTTCAATTATAGAAAGAAATGAGAAAATGACAAATTAAAAAATAATCTATTTAAATTTTAACCTTACTGAGCTGCCTGCCCCTGTAGCTTCTATATAAACATCACAGCCAAGACCCTAGGGAAATTTGGTAGATAAAAAGCGATTATAAATTATACAGTGATAAGCGGTTATACATCAATACAATGAAGACAACTTGCGGTTATACATCAATACAATGAAGACAACTTTCGGTTATACATCAATACAATGAAGACAACTTTCGGTTATACATCAATACAATGAAGACAACTTTCGGTTATACATCAATACAATGAAGACAACTTTCGGTTATACATCAATACAATGAAGACAACTTTCGGTTATACATCAATACAATGAAGACAACTTTCGGTTTCGATTTTGATTTATTAATAAATAAAAATCTTCTCTTTGCAAAGAGAAGATTACTTGTAAACTTACAATAAAACTAAAATAAAAAGTCGTCTTCATTGTATTGATATATTCATGTATCATATTTTATTTTAACCCTGTGTCTAAAGTTTACCTGAAACAGGTGGGGGGGGAGGAAGTTTATCCCGCCCCCTCTATTTTTTTGAATTAGCACCTCATTTTAATGCAATTTCAAACAAGAAAAAAACGAAATTGAACGTTTTTTACCGTTAATTTTCTTTTCAAAAACGGCTTATCCGTTTAGTTAACGATTCAAAAATTAACAATTTAAAATTAACGAAATTTCGAAATTTTCGAAAATCTCCATTTCGTAAACATATTTTTGCCCAGTCCTTGAAGGAAACAGATTGTTTAGAAGTTTTAAATTAATCTTAAAATTGATCATTTCTTTTTTAATTTAAATTCTAATATCTAACTAACCTCAGAGAGTTTAAAAACCTCCTCTTGTATATTACACTTTGTCGGATTTAACACAAAATCTTAAATATAGAAATATTGTTAAAATGAGATGTTTCTTCATGAAGAATAATATAAGGAAAGATAAAGCTTCTGAAAGCTTTAAAGTGAAATAAATTAAATTCTTCTTCTTGACAAATCTGAAAGAACTATTATTTTTCAACTATTTATATTCAAGTTTAGAAAAATAAAAAAATTGGTAAATATTAAAAATTGTATTATATATAAAATTATAAAATAAAAATAACATTTAAAAAAGCTGTGAATTTGCAGGACTTTCCCCTATGTTGGGTCTCCATAGTAAAGCGTCAAAGGGACTGTTTTAGACTTAATAAATTCAAGTAACCAAATTTATTCAAAGGGTAGTATTTTCGATTCACAACCGTACCTATCAAATTTTTTTTACTCGAGGCGTACGTACGCAAGACACTTGTATGTAGGAACCACAATGGAGTTGAATTTTTTCCCAAAATTTTGAAATCCCTATATTTCTGCAACCCAACAATACAAATCCTTGATATTTCAAACTTAGATTTTTTATCTAAAAGAATTTAAGGTTTGAACTTTCTAAAATTTACAACATTGGGTTGTAAAGATAAAGGGAATAGTAAATTCGAATTTGTGGCAAAGACTCAATTCCTTTCACTGTCTTCGATGATCAGATAAAGGTATTACGGGTACTGCTGTGCATCGGGGTTACCATCTTTAATGTTAGGTCACTTAAATTTACGCTAACAGTCCCTTTAATTTCAAAATTGACAAGTTTCTGTCGAGCTCAGTCGTTATAGCTTANTATTTGCCCCCCCCCCACCTCTGTAGATAGTTCTCCTAGTTCACATTTTTGCTCTTTTTTGAATTATCATTGTTATTTAATTTTTATTCAATGTCGCTATATATAAAGGGTGTCTCACGAAACATGACAGTTGGTGAAAAGGTTAAAATGTCTTTTTCCATAATTTTTTAAGTTGTTTGATACCAAAGACAATAATACAATTATTATATGGGAGTCATGTTATAGTAAAATTGGTTTCAAAGTAAAATATATTTCAGAAAAACATTTTTTTAACGAAATAAACTGCAAAAAGACTTTAATATCTCATAAAGTACATGGAAGACGACTTCCATAACTATTTACCAACTGTCATGTTTCGTAGTACACCCTGTATATCATTAGATTTTTTATACTAACAATGGAAACATTTTTCGTTCGTAGAAAAAATGACAAAAGTCAGGTTTTAGATATGAAAATGCTAAAGTAAATTAAGATTTGATATAAAAAAGTCATCAACCAAATTTTAAGCGACGTGGATATTGATACGCTAAAGAAACTTTAAGTAAACAGAAGAAAATGACAATTATTTTTATGTAACAATTGAAATGGAATATCTGAAACAGAAGAAATATTATTTATTCAGATCAATTTTTATCTAAGAAGAATTCAGAGAAAAACCTTTAATCTTTCAATCTTCAGAGGTCCAAACTATTAAATTGCGAATTAAGATTCTCATTTGGGAAGTTCCAAAAATCTGACTAATTACAAAAATCTCGAAAAAACAAGTCAGTTATTTTCAATTACAATCTCTCGACAGAAGTTTCAAAATTTCAAAACCTGGGCTTAATAATATTACTAAGAGTAAGAGAACTGTTCATGAAAAACTGAAATTTTATGAAGGTCTCACATATAACGAAATTCCTTCTTTGCCACAAACTCAAAATTGCAAATAACTATATCTTTGCAACTTTATAGCGTAAACCTTTTAAACATAGAATATTTTTATTTATTAAATCAACACAATTAATAGTGTATATCATAAATAAGGTTTTCGAAGTTGTGTTGCAAATATATTGTATTTTGAATTCTGAGTTTTGAACAAAAACTCAAATCGTAAAGGCTAATTATGTAAATACGTTCCATTTTGCAAGCTTCAAGAGTAAAATAAGTTTTAAGATTGAAAATGTTTCGAAGATTGAATGAGGGGAAGAAACAACGCAAAACCCAATCCTTCTATCCTTTCAATCAGGTTTCTAGTTTCAGCAAAATAAATGTTTCCAATTTTAAAACAAAATATTTGAAATAAAATACAATTCTTCTTCCAAATATTTTTTATAATAAAGATAGGGTAATTGTATCCTTATGCGATTTAATAATTTTTTGTTTCTTATAGAGAGTGCAAACCTTTGGCTGCTTTTGTTTTGCCCCTGCAACCATTCCTAGTCCAAGAGGTCCACAGCCAGAAACCACAACAATATCATTCCACTATACATAGAGAACATAAAGTTTAATCATTACTAAAAAGCTCACTAGATCCCAAGTTCTACGGCATGCAGGATGAGAAACCTGGATAATCCAGATTGTTCAACGGCATGAAGGATACCATACCTGTATATTCCATAGGCATACAGGATACGGTACCTTTATATTCTCTAGTTCAACAGCATGCAGAATGAAATACCTTGCTATTCCTTATCTCTACGGCATGCATGATATGTTACCTGCATATTCCCTAATTCAACGGCATGCATGATACGATGATTGTATATTCCCTAGTTTTACGGCATGCAGGATACGGACCTGTATATTACCTATACTCTACCGCATATGAACCAGTGTATATTCCCTAGTTCTGCGGCATGTATGCTACAATACCGTGTATATTACCTAGTTTTACAACATTCAGGATATGATACCTCTATGTTCTCTAAGAGTTCTACTGCATGCAGGATAGGTACCTGTATATTCCCTATTTTTAAAGCATTAAGGATACGAAACTTCTATATTCCCTAATTCTACGGCATGCAGGAAACGATACCTGTATATTCCTAAGTTCTACTGCATGCAGGATACTGCAATACCTATATATTCATAAGTTCTACTACATGCATGATGAGATACCTGTAAATTCCTAAGTTCTACTGCATGCAGGATGAGATACCTGTATATTCCCTAGTTTCAGGGCATGCAAGATACGATACCTGATCATTCCCTAGTTCTACGGCATACAGGTTAAAATACCTTATTATTCCACCGCATGCAGGATGAGATTCCTGTTTATTCCCTAGTTTTACGGCATGCAAGATACGATACCTGGATACTCCCTAGTTCTACGGCATGCAAGATACGATACCTGGATACTTCCTAGTTCTATGGCATGCAGGATGCGATACCTGGATACTCCCTAGTTATATGGCATGCAGGATGCGATACCTGGATACTCCCTAGTTCTATGGCATGCAGGATCCGATACCTGGATACTCCCTAGTTCTATGGCATGCAGGATGCGATACCTGGATACTGACTAGTTCTACGGCATGCAAGATATGATACCTGGATGCTCACTAGTTTTACGGCATGCAAGATACGATACCTGGATACTTCCTAGTTCTATGGCATGCAGGATGCGATACCTGGATACTCCCTAGTTCTACGGCATGCAAGATACGATATCTGGATACTTCCTAGTTCTATGGCATCCAGGATGATGATAAGGAAAGCATCATTTGTTCTACACATATTTTGTCCTACACATATTTTGTCCTACAGAGTGAAAAAGAATTATTTGTCCTACACATCATAAAATATATGTTTACATAAATATCTGTTACATTCTATTTATATTGACATAGGGTCAAAAAGTGTGACAAACGGACAATTTCTTTTTGCGAGACAGCTCATTATCTAACCTTTTAAAGGCTGCAGAGCTCGGCCCCTTAGCCCATCCGAGCCACAGCGCTCGGCCTACAAATTATCTTAACCCAGCCTGACTCAAAAAGGTGGGAAACACCATATTATTTAATATTCGAGATGTTGCAGCGCTCGGCCCCATAGCCCATCCTAGCCGCAGTGCTCGGCCCAAAATAAGGTTAAATGATAGCATATTATATATTTAACATAGTAAAATAAATTAAATTCTACTTTTAAACATTAATAAAGAGCACATTTTATCCCCTCGCTGTAGGACAAATAATGTAGAGTGCAAATGATTTTTTCTCCTCTATGCAGGACAAATTATGTGTTGGACAAATGATGTGAAGGACCAATGATGTGTAGGACAAATTAGGTGTAGAACAAATTATGTACAGGACAAATTATGTGTTGAACCAATGAGCTGTAGGACAAATTATGTTTTGGACAAATGATGTGAAGGACAAATGATGTGTAGGACAAATGAGGTGTAGGACAAATGAGGTTTAGGACAAATGATGTGTAGGACAAATGATGTGTAGGACAAATGAGGTGTAGGACAAATGAGGTGTAGGACAAATGAGGTGTAGGACAAATTATATTTAGGACAAATTATGTGAAGGACAAATTATGTGTTGGACAAATTATGTGTAGGACAAATGATGTGTAGGACAAATTATGTGAAGGAAAAAATTTTTGAAGGACAAATCTTGTGTAGGACCAATGATGTGTAGGACAAAGATGTGTAGGACAAATGATGTGCAGGAAAATTGATGTAATGGATATACATTTGATGTGTAGGATAAATGAAGTTTTCCCCGACCAGTAGGACAGATGATTTTTAGAACAAATGATTTAAGACAAAAGATTGTAGGACAAATGACCGAATTCGATACCTGGATATTTCCCAGTTCTACTGCATGCAATGAACAGGCCAAAGGTTCAACAAAGCAGGCATGGAACGGATCAATCTAAAGAATTAAAGATTTTTAGAAAAATATTCTCGCGGCTAGGCTATTTTTTTGGATTTAAAAAAAAATAAGTTTAAATTAAAGTTTAGAGTTTATAGTACCTGTGGTGGTATAACGTGAACTAGGGCATTTTTAGGATAGATCATGTATTCTGCCATTGCTCCTTGGGTAACCTTTGGCGGTTAAAAAAAAATGAACACAATAATAAGGTGAATAAGTTTGTTTGTTTGTCCGATCATAACTCAGAAACCACTATACCGATTTGCCTCAATTTTTTATTGGGGAGATTTTATATTGAGTGAGTTTACCTTTAACGAAAAATAGCAAAAAAATCTTTATTTCCTAAAACGGGTGGGTAACCAGTGGGAATACCAATGACTGCGAAACTAGTTCCAAAGCTATAGTTAATATATATATTTGCTTAATAAAGAAAAGTTTAAAAAATCCTTTTGAATGAGCCGACTGTGAAAGGAAGATATTTTTTACAGCATGCAAATAAAAATATATATATAATATATGTATGTCATGTGACAATTCATAATTTTTTCTATTTCTTTCGTGCATATAGAGTTGTTTAGGAATTGTAGAAAGATTGTTCAGGGTTTTTTTCTTCTATTTTGAAATAATTTTGCAAATAGTTTTGATAAAGTGACGGACGATTTCCTCTCTCGCTTTGGTGGATCTTTATTCATCTCTTTAGGAAATAAATAAACTTTTAAAAAATATTTGATAAAATTCTACCTGATGAAATCCATAAACATGATGTGGAACACAGACCTGATAGCTTCCACGCTTACAATATCTTTAACAAACAAATTATTCATTTATAAAAATATTTTTTTTTATCTTTGCAACAATTTAAATTAAATCTTGTCGTATAAACATTATTTGTAACTGTCTTAAACCAGGTCTTACTCTTTGCAAAGAAATTCGTTCGGTTCAAATTTCCAATTGTTCAATTTTTTTTAGAGTAAATGATACAACGTAATAATCTTTTCTTTTATTATTAAACTTCGTAAAAATTTAAACAGAATAGTTTTTTTAAAAATTTGCTGAAATGTATTAATTTTGTAAACGATTTCAAATTCAGGTCAAAAAACTTATTTTAAAACCGGAAATAGCCGGAATTTTATGAAAATATTGTTTCTAAAAGATTAGATTATATAGAGGACGTGAGTCAGAATCTAATGAAAAATGAGTAAATATCGATATCACACGTGTAGATGTTTATCAGTACTATGCCCCGTATCTGTTCTATCTCATTCTGTTGAATCTTGTGGAACTTGTTTAACGCGG